ACTTGGGACTGTATCAGCAAAGATGCCACCAGCTTGAATTAGAGAGGACAGAGTGAAGGATGGCTGTCATATTTCTTAGATCCTACGGGACCAGAGTACAGAGCTGTGAATGTGAGCCATTCTTCAAGAAAAGGGAAGAAGGACCCTAAAAGTGGTTCAGTGACTTTGAGGGCAGCCTCCTTGGTTTCAAAGCATGGGACCATTGTTTCAGTTTAATCAGCCCGCATGGCCTTTGCCAGAGGTCTTAGGGGTGGGCCACCTGGAGTCTTGGAGGTGGGGCTGCCTGGAGCCTTGGGGGAGGGCTCCCCTGGAGCCTTTGAGGTGTGGCCCCCAACCCTACCCAGCAGAGCCACTGAGGTGGGTCCAGAAGGTAGGACCACAACTCTGTGGATCTGGAAGGCAAGACGTCTAGGCAAAGAGGATTATGCCTGAACCTTAAGATCTTTAGAATTTGCCTTGCTAGGTTTGGGGTCTTTTTTCTTTCTTATGTCACCCTTTTGGAAGGGAATGTTATTCCTGTGCCTGTCCCACCATCGTATTTTGGAAGCACATAACTTGTCTGGTTTCACAGGTTCACAACTGGAGAGGAATTTTGACTCAGGATGACTTAAGATACTTTGAGTCTCATCCATGTCTCATTTAGATGAGATCTGGATGTGATTTTGGACTTGAGAGTTGATACTGGAGTGAATTAAGATTTGGGGGGCGTAGAGTAAGACACTATCTTAACAATTTCTAAGAGTGCAGTTCAGTAGTATTAAGATATTCACATTGTTGTGCAACAATCTCCAGTTCTTTCTCATTGTATCCAAGAAGTCATTGCCAAGTCCAATGTCATGAAGCTCTTTCCCTGTGTCTTTGACTAAGAGTTTTGTAGTGTTAGCTGGCTTTTAGCTAGCTCTTGGGCTTAGGTCTTGGATCCGTTTCAAGTTAATTTTTATAGATAGTATAAGGTAGAGGTCCCTTTCATTTTTTTGCATGTGCATTTCTAGTCTTCTCAGTCATATTTGCTGAATAGAAGACTGTCCTTTCCGTACTGAATGGTCTTGGTGCCCTTGCTGAAAGTCATTTGACCATAAATGCAAGGGTTATTTCTCTATCCATTAGTCTGTATGTCTCTCTTTGTGCCACTGTTTTGATTGTTGTATATTGTTTTGATTACTGTAGCTTTGTAGAAAGTTTTGAAATCAGGAAGTGTGAGGCCTTCAGATTTGTTCCTCCTGTTCAAGATTGTCTTGGCTGTTTAAGTACCACGTGAATTTTAGGATGGGTTTTTCTATATTTCTGTAAGAAACATCGTTGGGTTTTTGATAGGGATTGCATTACATCTGTGGATTGCTCTGTCTAGTATTGACATCTCTTTGTGTCTGTCTTGTGCCACAAGGAAATATCACGGGCTGGGCAGTCTGCAAGTGCAGATGTTTACGTCTCCCCGTTCGGGAGGCTGGGAAGGTGAAGACCGAGATGCCGGTGTCTGGCCGGGGCCTTCTTGCTGCTCCCTCACGGGGAGAAGGTGGACGGCAGGAGAGACAAAGGCTTGCGTGTCCTCACATGGCAGCAGACCAGAAGAGCAAGTCAGCGGCATGCGGCGTGATGCCTCCTTTACCCTGAGGCTTGATCGCGTTTGTAGGGAGGAGCTCCCGTGGCCTAATCAACTCTTAATATTATCATGTTGGCAACACTGAATTTTGGAGATGACGTATTCAGACCCTAGCAACATCTTTTTTGTCTTTTTTTTTGAGTTGGAGTCTCACTCTGTCACCCAGAATGGAGTGCAGTGGCCGCTCCCGGCCATCGCAGCCTCGACCT